CAGGACACGCGACGGCCAGCCAGGCAGCGAGTGGGCGTGGCCCACCCTGCGCAAAGAGGAAGAGGACGCGGATTGGTCGCGCGGCCGGCCAATAGGCTCGCTCGCGCGCGCGCGCCAGCCCCGGAAGGAGGGACGCCCTTGTTTTCTTTCCCCTCCTGCAACAAAAACCCGAGGAAACAAAAGTTCCGGCTTGCTTTGAAGCAAGGCTCGCTCCCGCTCCCCCCCCCAAAGAAAAGAAAGCCAGAAAAGATATTTTTAGGCAATTTATGACGCCCTCAACGCCGCCCCGAAAGTGCTTTAACTTATTTAGGCTAAAGGGGGGGTCTTCCACTGGGAGAAAAGGGATTCTTGCTGCAAAAGGCTAAACTGAAGCCTGTGCGCCCTTTGGACTCTTCCCCTTTTGAGGAGGAGGGGGGGAGAAATTAAAGTCAAGGCATAACTCCCCTCCCTCTCTTGACCTCCCTCAGTTGCAATCCTCAGGATTCAGCCCGGACTTCCTATCAGTGCTGGCTTCTTATTGCCCTGCTTTCTCCTTTTATTATATTAAAGCCCATGCAAAAAAAAAAAAAAAAGCTGCCCCTGTCAGGCTTGTTCTAAAGATCCCTGAATGCCTGATCCCCCTGATCCCACGTCTGCCCCGGGGGCAGATCTCAGCTCAACAGAGCCCTCCCTGCAGAATGGGGCGTTGCAATTGCTTCCTTGGGAGCCAGGCCTTAGGTGCCCAAAGGCTTTTCTAAATAAACAGATAAATAAGAGGAGAAAACGGAATCGGTGAGGTGAACCAGTCCCATCCACTGAGCCACCAGTTTACTCCCAGTCTATCACAAAGAACAGAGTTCCTTCAATGGGCCTTTGGAGACAAGACTTAACTAGAAACCACCACAACAGCATCTTCTTTCCCTTATTCACTGCAAACTGGCAAGGGCAAATGGACATAAAAAAAAACCACAAAGTAATAATCAGATGCCTTTCATATGAGGTAGGGAGACCAGTCGATAAACTAAAAAAAAAAAAAAAGGAAAAGAACGCAGAGGTAACTTGCACAAGCAGACCCAGGAATGACAAGACTTGATACAAAGCAGAGATCCTGTTGGCATTACAAATCCATTCACACAATCAAAAGGAGATAGTGGAAGAGAAAAAAAAAAAGGCAAGCCAAGGTAGATGTGGAGGCTGTTAGCTCTTCCTACTCACACAATTATCACATATTTGTGCCAGAAATTACACAATTTACGCAAAATCAAGCTAATTACACTGCAGCCCTGGGTGCCGCGTGCACACACCCTGGATTGGCAGCCACCGCAAAAACTCTGCCACGCCAAGTCACAGCCAAGGAATTCCCAAAGCGCCTCCATCACAAATCCCAACTCAGCATCTCAAGGCACTGCCACAAGGCGTCCCTTCTGTTCCCCCCTTCCCATCCGCCCCCCTCCCGACAACATAGAGAAAAGGAAGCCCCTCAGTGATTACACCCTCAGTTACAATCACCCTCAGTGACTACACCCTCAGTTACAATCCTTGCCTTGAATCCCATCTGTAATCCATCCCTAAACAGGAGCCCTTTGCTTTTTCTCACTCACAACTCACAACCCTGCAGAGGGGAGACAGGGCAGCCCAGGGTTTTGCATTCACACTCAACTCCAGTCTATGGGGATGAGGTACCACGGCCTGCTCCCTCCAAGCAAGCCTAACCTTGCCCTTGGATTTCTCCCAACTTCCAGAGGGCTTTTTCCTTACCAAACAATTGTGCTCAAAACTTTAGCTCTCATGGCCTTCGGCAACAATTCCACCCCATCATTTTCTCCTGCACTGCAGTTCCTGGCTTCACACAACAGGCTCCCCTTTCAGCTAATGTTGAACACAGGCTGTGTTCCCACAACACATTAAGCCAGGAAAACATCCAGTCCTTTAAAACTAACCCAGGTCAGCTAATGGCATCAACTCGCTCACTGGAACTTTTTGCACTGTTATAGCAACTTTCCGGAAGTAGCAGAATTATTTTGAGCTCCTCCAGGGAATCTTGTCTTTGGCCAATCAAAAGGGAAGCAGCCCGAGCAAGAGCTGAACGTAGCTTGCACACGGGGCGCTCGAAGTTAAATGTGCTCAGCCAGTTTACAAGTCAGATGGCACTTTCAAGTTCTGGCCAGCTTTTCAGAGCCTGTCTTCAAGGAAGCCGAAGGCAGGGCCAAAAGAAGCATTCACAACCATCAGCCTGCTGGCTTTGCCCACTCCGAGGTGGAAAATAGAGGCCAAGCAAAAAAGCAGGCCTCAGGCCTCCCCTAAGAGCTTATCCTGGATCCTGTACCGAAGGTGCTTTTGAAAAGCACCTTTGGGACAACCGTGGCCCGGATGAGTGAGCATCACCACAGGCATCCTGCATCCTGCTTGCAGCCTACCCAGATCACCAGCCCTGGGACCCAATTTCCATTCTTAAGTCAATTCCATGCCCGAAATTAAAAGCCTTCAACGGCTCTTTCGCCACTCGGTTCTGCATCTTGGCTTTCAGAAAAAGTACCCACTCAAGGAAATGCAGTGGAGATTGTGCTGCTGCTTCCTCACCTGTCCTCAAAGGGTTTGTACTTTTGGGGGCGTTTTCCACAAGTAACTTGAGCTACACTTCTGACTACGAGGACCGGGAGAATTCTATGGGCGGCTTCCATATTCCAGGTACTGTCTCTCTGGCTGTTCGTATTTGAGTGCCTGAAGTGGGGGGGCGGGGGGAGGAGCAAGGGAAAGGAATCCAGCGCTCCCATCCTCTTAAGAGGAATTCCTGGGTCCCCCCCCCCCAAGCCATCCAAGGATGGCAGCCAAGGGTGCAGGGCTACATGTTCGGGTGGAATCTGCAGCCTCAGAGCACCATCTCGAAAACCGCTCTCAACACAGAAAAGGACTGATGAAAAGGCACAACACACAACTACCTCGAGGCATTTTTCGGCCTTGAACTGGAAACATGGGGCTGTCGTGTTGTAAATTCAGGTAAGCGATTCACCTTCCTGCCACAGCCCCAATTGTTTTAAATCAAGTGCCTGTTTTCCTGTCTGAATTTGAGTTTCCCTTAAAAGGGCGGCAGACTCGGCACCAGAACGACCTCTCCATGAAGGCCCAAATATACAAACCATCACAAGCCAGATGTTACACACAACTGCAACCCAGCGTACACAACACCTCCCACGCCCCCAGCTCGTTCCTGGCGCTTGGGAGCAGATGGACGTGGTCACAGCTTGCGACCCACCTATTTCCCTCACTCACTCAATGTGTTATAACCCTCTTAGGCGGGTGGGGGGTTTTTTTTTGGGCTGGGCTTTGCTTTCCCTCCACCCAAGAGCCGAGCAGTGGGCCCTTCTACCCCATCATGTTTTTGTTCTTAAGGATAAAGTGACAGTTTTTAGTAAATAAATTAAGAAGTAATAAATAACAGCAACATAGTTGAAACAGAAAAGGCTAAGGAAGGTGAGAACAAGAGGCGAGCGAGCTGGCCTGCATTTTGGACATAAGATTCAGAAGCTTTCGAGGCCGCCCGGCTGGGGGAAAAAAAATGGTTCAGGTTATTTCAACATCCAAACACAAAGCACAGCTGCAATTGACCTGCACAGGCAGGATCGGTTCCTGGACAGCCTTATAACCGACCTCGGGAACTACAGGCAACCGGAATGCTGTCCCTTAGGCTGTATGAATGGAGGCCACACCAGGTCAAGAACACTTTATTAGTATACAGTACAAAAATAAAGGAAGGCAGAGGGCTCCTCCGATACGCCTCGCTTCGTTCCTAAGCCTCCTTCCAAACTATGGACCATGTGCACAAATCAGAAGAGTCTGTGGACCTTGTGGCGGTGGGCCAACCACGCACGCGTCTTCCTTCCGGGGTGGTGGCTCTCTGCTCCCCCCTCTGCCTCGCAGCCACTTCGCGCCTCTGCGGCTCTGCTCCGGCGGGCGGGCGGGCGAGGGAACCTCCGGCTTGGATTCTCCTCTGCAAAGCGAGGGAGGGGAGGGTCCGCTCTCCGGCCACGGGGGGGGGGGAGCCTTGCGCACCTACTGGAGACCTGCGGGAAGGCTTGCTTACAAGAAGAATATCAAAACCTTCAAACTAGTCATTTTATTAAATGTATTCATGTACAATGCAGAGACTGCTGTTTTCCCACAAAGCCTCTCGCGTCTCCCTCCCCATTTCTAAAACCCCCCTCCCCCCCGGCACAAGAAAACACTGGAAAGTAAGTCAAGCCAACACAATACCCAGCTTTTTAAACAGGCACAAAAATAAAAAAGCACAGCAATGGTATTTACAGCGTTTTCCAAAGGGAGGCAAAGCCTGGGGCTTGCTCATTCTCTGAACACCCCCCCCCCCCCC